TTCACTAATATGATAACTAATTTTAAGATAAAAAGTTGATAAAACAATTCATAATTGAATAAATCTAATATTCTACTCTGAACTGCATCAATTTCATACACAAAATAAACAATTTAAAGAAAAGTATAGTTTGAATCATACATTTAAAGACAGGCGAACATGGGGCCATGCAAAGATATTTAACGTACACTTTGACGATGTCCGTTCAAAATGCCCGTTGACAACTTCCGTCAAGAATATTTTACGGGCGAAGGACGTGTTCAGCATATCCTTACAGCTTCCAACAGCTGAACGGCCTCTGATCCCGTTCTGCGTCATGATCCATGCCTTCAACCTGTGTATATTGGACTAATTTGTACTAAGAAAATAATGTTGTTTTCCTGATCATTTACAGAACATGGGATTGTTTTTTATGATACAACTAATCTAGGAAAATAACGTTGTTTTCCTGATCATATATAGAACATGGATTTTATATATATATATATATATATAATATATATATATATATATATATATATATATATATATATATTTTTTTTTTTTTTTTTTTTTTTTTTTTTTTTTTTTTTTTTTTTTTTTTTTTTTTTTTTTTTTTTTTTTTTTTTTTACAAATAGATATTCGATTAATTATGCTACAGCTAAATGGCGAAGGATCATTCCAGTTCAGAATCAGATGATCGAAAAATCAGGAAAAGAATCCTATATTTTCAAAAGAAATACCGACAAACATGTTTATAAAATTACAGATGATGTTTGTTGTTGATAATAATGATTATGGCAATATTATCAATCATGATGATAAGAACAATGAAAATGATAACGATAATAATGATTATAATAACAAAACGTAAAAACAACATTGATGATGATGATGATCATCATCATCATCATTATCTTCATTATCATAATAATAATAAGAAGAAGAATCATAATCACTATCATCATAATTATGGTCATGATGGTAATAAAAGTAATAAAAATCATAAGAATAAGGATGATGATAATGATGATAAGGATAGTAATGATAATAGTAGTAATAGTGATAAAGATGGTAATGACAATAATCAAAGCAATGATAATAGTAATATTTACAATGATATCAATTGTGGTAGGAGTAGCAGTAACAACAACAACAACAATAACAGCAATAATAATGATGATAATGATAATGACGATGATAATGATAATTATAACAATGGCAACAACGCTAATAAAGATTATAACATTAATAATGATAATGTGATGTGAAGATAACAAAAATGATATTGGTAACAATAATAACAACAGCAATAATAATGATAGTAATAATGATAATAATAATAACAACAATAATAATGACGATGTTGATAATAATAATGATAACAATCATTATAATGATAATGATCATGATGAAAATAATAATGACAGTAATAATAATAATGATAATTCTAAGGAAGATGATGATTATGATGATGGTGATAACAGTGATAGTAATGATAATTATGATAACGGTACTGATGATAATGATAAAAGTACTACTAATAATGATAACAATGATGATAATTATCATCATTATTATTATTATTATTATTATTACTATTATTGTTATTATTATTGTTATTACTGTTGTTATTATCATTATTATTTTTTCATCATAATGATAATAACAATAATAGTTATCAAAATAATGATAACAATAGTAATAATAACAATGACAATAGCAATAATATTAATGATAATGATGATGATTATAATGATAACAGAAAGTAGCATAAATGAAAATGATAATAAAAATCGTAGTGATAAAGATAAAACTATCATAAAAATAATGATGATAATACTATTGGTAATGATAATGTGAATGATGATGCAAATAATGATGATAAAAAACAATATTGATACAATATTAATGATGAAGATAATGATGATAATAATAATGATAATATAATCATAAAATAATAATATATAATAATAATAATAATAATAATAATAATATAATAATAATAATAATAATAATAATAATAATAATAATAATAATGATGATAATGATAATAATAATAATAACAATAATAACAATAATAATAAAAATAATAACAGTGATAATCAGAATAGTGATAATGATAATGATCATAATATGATAGTATTACTGATAATTGTAATACTAACAATGATATTGGTAACAATGATAATAATAATAACAATGAGAACCATGATAACAATGATAATGATGATATAGTAATAAAAGTGATAACATCATATAATAATGAAGATCATAATGATAATAATAATACTATTATTATCATTATTGCTAATATTGATAATGATGATAATGACTTAAAAAATATGTTTATAATGATAATAAGGAAATCAATAATAACACTGATAATAATTTTGATAATTATACTACTACTGATAAGAATAGTGGCAATGATGTCAATGGTAATATTTACAATAATAGTAGTAATGATAAAAACTTTCATAATGATAATATTAACAGCAATGCAAAACAAATATAATG